TAGCAAACTGCTTTAGCGAGCTAACTCTCTCTCTCTCACGGTGTCCAATGGTGTTTGCTGAAGTAAATGGGGATAAATCCAGCGGGCTGATAATCTCTCGGCTGAAGTTCTGAAGGAGAAAATAGTTTGTGGAATTCCCGTCACATGATGCCTTCAGAGGTGGAGCAGCTCTCTGCCGTCTCTTTACACGCTCAGACTGAGAGTATACAGAGAGAAAAATAATCTGCTCCAATCCAGATAAACACCCTTCAGTGTGTGCAAAAGAGCCTGCATCCTCCTCATGTCTGTATATTACAAAACTATTTATATTTAGAAAAACAGCTGTCCAGCTAGAGTGAAACTATTAGAGAAATGTCCATTCTGAATCAGTCCTCTTCAAGCTGTAAAAGCATATAAAACAACACAAAAATAACAAAATATAAAAATAAACTAAATACTGACATTTACAAAAAATAAATTAAAAAATGTGTTCATTTTTAATATTTTGTTATTTTTTGTTCTTTATTTATTATCAGTCATCTATTAAAGAAATATCCAATGCTCAATAAGTTAAGCTCTATGGACTGCACATGTGAGATCCAGCTGTAGAAACAAACAAAAAATGCCTTGATAAATGCCCTTACAGTGCAAGTTTCTGCACGCTTGCTAAGCTAAAGACCATGCCAAAAATGATATTCTTTAAATATAAAAAAGATAAATACAAACACATTAAATGATCTAAACACACACACACACCTGTTCCAAACTATTCTTGCGTCTTAAAGCAGCCGTGCCTCACACAGATGATTTTCTCTTAAGTGTGAAAGTGTGCATCCATGAATAGAGCGAACATGCCGCTGCGTAACACTATCTCTGTGTGTGTGTGTGTGTGTGTCTATATAGGGGCCGTAACCAGGGGAGGCCCAACAAACATTCACAAACACCTCAGTTATTTTGCTCTCGACACCCACCCTCTTCTGCCTTTATTCCCTGTTTTTTTCTCTTCTGTCTCTCTTCCCCCTTTTTATGTGAGCCTTTCTGAAGCTGAATGCAAATGCTGCGTGCTGGCAGAGAGAGAGAGAGAGAGGGCTGGGTTGTGATTAAGGAGAAAGGGCCGTGTTCTTTGTTCGGCCCTCGGGGGATGTTTACCGGTGGAGACGCGGTGGATGTGATATGAAAGGCAGTCGGGTCAGCGGTGATGTGAGTGAAAGTGAAGTCACACCTAAGGCATTTCCACAGAGCTCTGGGTCTGACTCCCCCTCCCTCCGATAGGCCAACATATCTTCAGAGACGAGATCGCAGAAGAAGCACAACGATAAAACACAACTGGGAGCAGTGCAAAGTGAAATCGTGAATTCGTCACCTCAAGGAACTGAGAGGACCTTAAAAATGACATTCAAAGGCATATCTTAATGTAGCCGCTTTAAATAATTACTCTGACATGAATAAAACCCATGCATTTAGAATCCATGGAATTTCCACATTTTCTTGTGGAAAAATATGTGGAGCTCTGTTGAAAGGATTTATAATGTGTTAAACGGGCGGAGAGATCATATTGGTGGAAGACGGCATTATCAAATTAGATAAAATATTCAATAAACAAACACAAGGGGCGGAGCATGTGCATGTTTGTGATTGACAGGAGATCTGCAGGCGCATCAGCGGGTACATTTTAGGGTTGCATATTCAAGGAAAAATAAAATAAAAAAAATGATGAGCTAAGAAAACTGGCTAAGAAATGCATATTTAAGATTATTCTTTATTAAGGATTTATTTATACAATTAATAAAGGATATTATTTATATGTGAAAGTTCTGAATTTATGAAATATTGTCATCTCCTTTAAAAAATGGCACTTTAAATGTGACAATTATTCCTTGATGTGTTGCATGCTTCCCGGGAGATACTTCCACGCATCCATGCACTGAAGACGTTTGAATCGAAGCGATCAAGTCAGTGCTAAAATAATCTTGCAAAAAAAAAACAATTCTGAAATGATAGAGACAGACTAATGCACCACAACCAACCCTGCCCTGAAAATAAAAAAATATTAAAAGCAAAAACTGGTGTTTTTTTTTTTTACCCTGACAGTTCTTCAATTACTGACCTACAACACAGAGTCCCTCTTACACAACATATAAAGAGCATAGATAATATAATCAAGTACAAATCACACACACACCAGAGTGCAAAAACGAGCTCAGAAATGCCGTGTGAAGTAGCAGGAGATCAGGGAACGCGAGAGATGAAGAGCACCATCCTCCTCTTCCTCTAAAACTCTCTCTCAGCTCGTCGCGGTGCAACCTAAACTCTGAGAGACTCAGGAGTTTCTCTCTGCACGGGGGAACCAAAGGTGCACGCTCACGCTCGGTTCACCTTACGCACATGTAAACGACACGTATTAGAGCTGACAATCAGCTGTGAGCGGCCCCGCTCCTCCCAAACACAGGAGGCAGAGGAGGGGCCATGCGGCGAGGGAGCCGCGCAGCATAATGGGGGCGCAGAAACAGTTTAGACGGGGCGGAATCTGCCATTGTTGGGGATGAAAGAGCCCGAGCTAAAGAATCGCCCCCTCCTAATTCAGCGACGACGGCTCAGCTGCCGTAATCAAACACAGAGGCTTCTCCTCGCGCCACGCAGGAGCTTTTCCAAACCTGAAATGATGTAATCAATCTGGCTGAATGCACCACGAGGAGCACGTCTTTGTGCTGCAGGAAACCTGTGAAAATATGCATCTTAGGGCACCCCACGGCCGTCAACTGCTCGGGAGGAAAAGGGCTCTTCCTGTAATTTCAGAGCACTGCATTTGTGAAAGACTTCCCATGCATGCATGCACGACAAACAGAAAATACTTTCCGCGTGACCCCTGACATCTGATCTGCTCCTCGCACACTACAGATATTTTGTAAAAAATAGTGCATGCAAAATAAACGGTTTACAAGCAGCTCTGACTGACTGCACTGAACATTCACAGACAAAGGCTTCTCCTCGCGCCACGCAGGAGCTTTTCCAAACCTGAAATGATGTAATCAATCTGGCTGAATGCACCACGAGGAGCACGTCTTTGTGCTGCAGGAAACCTGTGAAAATATGCATCTTAGGGCACCCCACGGCCGTCAACTGCTCGGGAGGAAAAGGGCTCTTCCTGTAATTTCAGAGCACTGCATTTGTGAAAGACTTCCCATGCATGCATGCACGACAAACAGAAAAGACTTTCCGCGTGACCCCTGACATCTGATCTGCTCCTCGCACACTACAGATATTTTGTAAAAAATAGTGAATGCAAAATAAACGGTTTACAAGCAGCTCTGACTGACTGCATTGAACATTCACAGACAACAGAAGCGTCGCAGCTGGACTGAAGTTTAGAAAGAGCCGGAGACAGCAGCGTTCTCTTCTGCGATTCCAGCGGACAAACTCTAACTCTTCACACGTCAGATTACCTCTACGCTTTGGGTTTTAGCTCATCAGAGAGCTGAAGCAAGATGTTTGCATTAATCTGACTGAACTAAAAGTGTCCTTTCCCACAGAAAATACAGCACTTTCAAACATCGTGCAAAACTGAATACGAATTAGAATGATAAAACACTACACTTGCTGGATTTGATTATCTTTATATAAGATGCAAAATATCTACAGGGTGCATGCAAAAAAAATGTATGGTTATATTAATTTGTGAAGCATTTACTTATGCTAAATGTCTTACAGTGCACACCTGAGTTGACCTGGACACGCTGAATCCAGCAGGTGTGTGAGAACATACACGTTTCACCCTTCGTATTTCTCTGAGCTCAGATCTGCAGTCTTCCAGCATCACTGAATATTTCATCTGTGTCCTCATTTTAAAACGACTGTCACTTCATATCAAGATGCATTTTTTTTTTTTTTCCACTGGTGCATTTTTATTTCTCTACCTAAACAATTAATTTAGTATTACCATGCATGCACACTTGCACGCGATCACGAGCTCCACAAATAATAAACACAAAACTGGACATTGCATATGAATATTTCAGGACCGTTATTTTTATGCAAATTACTCACACGTTGTATTAAAAACACAAACGCATATGCATGGACTGCAAGACAGCATTTGATTAGATTTGATGAAATGCATTATTAGTCATACGCAAAAGTCTCTATTCAAAAAGTGGGAGGACAGAATTACGCCTTTTTAAACTTCAGTGCTTGAAGACACACGTGAGGGTGAAAAGACTCTCGTACTCGTATTGATTTTTAGCGGATCAATATGAAACATTTCATAAAGGAAAGAGGGAGATGGAACTGAACTGATCGCAGCGTTTAATCCTCGTGAAGCAGAAGAATTAAAAACTCAAACGTGCAGCGCGGCATCCGAACCAACAAACCCAACACTCACGCACAATTTCAAATGCAACCTAATCTATCGGCTGGTGTGTTTAGTTTATATAAAACACTATAGTGTGTATGCATGTGCAAAACGCCAAAACAGCTACCCTCAAAATACAACACACTGTTCTAAAACATCCCTGAAAGCAGCACAAGTTTATAAAATCAACTCATCTGTGCTTCACAATCAGCATGCGTGCTGCATTAATGCAAAACTGTGTTTACCAGGCACTCGTGTGACATTATTATTGACTGCGACTAACGGAGCTCCACACAAAAACACAACAAGCATGAGCACCTCTAATTCATGCATCTGAGAACGAATGAAAATAATGCACTGGGACTGTCCAATCGGTGTCTCTGGGCGGTCAGCAGCTTCTTAAACAAACGAAACGCAAGTGAAAAGAAGCCATAGGCATCTAACGTGTTCAGAGCGCGTTTAATACGCTCCTGAGAATTACGCACAAACTTTCATTTCCAAACTTGCGCGAAAATACAGAGAGAAAAAGCTCCGCTACATGGCCTTTATTTACATCACGCCTGTTCAATCCGATTTCTACTTGTGCTCTTTTAAACGTACTCCCATCTGGACTCTGATCTCTGCGTCCCGCGTAACGCGTCCGTTTACGCACACTTTCCCAAGCCGCTCTTACCGTTTTTCCTCCGCGGGTTGGCTTGTTTTCGTCTCTTACACCGGGGGCCATCCGCCATGATCAGCTCCCGCATTGATAAACGTGGATCAGATGGCAGTTTGCATGGACTCAGACCCGAGCAAACACAGCAGCAGGGTGGACCGCTCCCTCTGGCAGCCCATCAGCCCGAGCACACGAACAGAAAAGACAGAAAAACACCGGCACATGAGTGAATGAGACTGCTGAGAGCCTCTCAGATCAATCGCTGTCCATGCATCTGATCACCGGAGACTGCAAGACGCATGCATTATGACTTATGGACATCTAAATACGCAGTTTAACGGTGCATGTGTGTCCTCCGATTTACAGGCAAAAAGCGAAATAACAGCTAGTCTCAAAGGTCAGAGGCTGGATTTATATTTAACATGTTCCGTGTCTATAAAGACACTTTAACAGCTGATTGTTTTTATTTGTCTAATGTATTTATTGGGGAGCTTCCAACTAGCTATAGATCTTATACATTTTCTGTAGTTTGTTTTAAGGTATAATTGTGAAATAATAAACACATTGTTTAACGCATTAGGTATAATGAACATTAACATTTAAATCTTATATTATCTGGAATAACCCCCACGTGTATCAGAAATCTATTGCTTTTCCCCCCCTTGACTTTCTGAGTGTTTGATCTCTTCAAGTATTAGTGAAGACGCAGTATTTAAAAACTTTGAAACATTTGGATCTATATAATATCTCTCTAATGATAATGACTGCATGCTTGAATAAATACGCAGTGTTCGATAATGAAATTGCGAGCAAAATGAAACGCATACAGATATCATAATCATTAATGAATCAAATATTTAAAAATTGCATGAATACTTTTACTTTGCATTTGTATTTACTTAAACTATACATATTTTTGTGACTGCATGTTAAAATAGTATTTGTTAAAAACGCTCAATAAAATCGATGCATTTACAGCTGAATTTGTAGCGATGTGGCATGGTTTTCTCTATCAATGATCTCGCGCATTGCAACATTACAGAAAGAAAAAAAAAATTAGTTTGCATTTAAAAAATGTTTAGTGGAAGCAACGCCAAGCGTTGGGTTCTTTTCTAGAATAAAACGTCAGTTTCGAATAAGTCGGTCCGCTCGCTCAGCGCACCTGCACAGGTGAACGCAAAGGTAAGAGGAAAAAACACACACCTTTGTGTTTGACTTTAACTAAGAGCATCCTGAATCCAGCAGCATGAAAGCGGCTTTATTTCGCATTCGGACTATTTTAAAGATGACGTGAAGGTAAAAGAGTGTGTCTTACCTTGTGGTCTCGGCTGCAGGAGTGTGTGTTGTGTGTGTTATAGTGTCTGGGTCCAGAATAAAGCCTGAGAAACAGAGGCGCGTTATTCCTGACTGATCCTCTCACACACTCCAGGACTCAAACCTGCGCTCGGACTGACGCGCTCACACGCCTCGAATGACACTGTTTTCCTCCTTTCTTTTCGAGAGAGAGAGAGAAACACACGCCACCTATCAGCACAGGGAGGGATAATAGAGCCAAACGTGTGTGTGTTTTATGAACGCGCGCACACACACACACACACGCACACACACACACAGAGAGAGAGAGAGCATCAGGCACCTTTATAGCGAAGACACGAATAACGTTTGAAGAAAGTTCAGGAACGTTTACGCTCCCTCTCTTCAGCGCCGGCGACAAACACGATTGTAGGAGAAATAAAGGAGGGTGCAATCAAAAAGACGAATCTGAGGAGGAGAAGCGCTGGATTTGGAGACGAAAGGTGTTCGGTCAGAGAGAGACGCGGGAAGCGCACGCGCTCCTGTGACAGGTGAGTCTGCAGGTGCACAGGTAAGAACGCGGATTCCAGGTTTTTTTTTAAAACTTAAGGCAGTCAGTGCAACGCAATGGGGTTTTTAGTGCATTTTAATAATTATCAGTCCAAAATGAAAGAATGAACTGCTTTCTCGATTAGATTTCTGAGGGATTCCGACACATTTAAGGGCGTGAATGAGCTCTCTCTCTGCATTCTTTCACCGTTATTGTTATTTGTCTTCTGCTGTGTTTTACGCTTTAGTGCTGAAGTCTTCAGAGGGTGACAGCGCTTTATGTGAATAGACTTTCTGTTCTTTCAGTATTTGTGAGGATAATGAAGACATCAATCTACTGGCATCTGCACTGATTGATGCTTTTGTTCTGCATCAGACTCCTGCAGTCTATAATCAGTCAGGTATGTATTTGTGCATTTAAAAATAAAAATGCTAATTATTAAATAATAATAATAATAATAATAATAATAATAATAATAATAATTATTATTATTATTATTATTATTATTATTATTATTATCGTTTATATTATATTATGATATATTTTATTATTTTAATTGTTTAAATTGTGAGGGTGTGCTCTTGGTTTGTCCGTGACACTGTCTGAATCACCCGGAGCTGCTGTATCCCTGTAGGGTGAGTGACACAAATCAGTCAGACAATAATGAATCTAGCAGTTAGTCTGTGATTTCTACTTGATTTGATGTCCACTGATATAATCAGGTTTATTCAATCATATTAAATAATATTTTTGACTAAAAACAAAATCAGCTTATTTGTATGCCTTCACATAAAGCATGTTTTTTGACAATTCTATCTATCTATCTATCTATCTATCTATCTATCTATCTGTCTGTCTGTCTATCTATCCTTTCCGCATGTATGCTGTCTTTTGCATCTGTTTATATGCAAGTATTTTACACGTTGTTAAATATTGTGTGAGACAGGCAAACGCTCATCCAGCGACCCTCTGGGTTCATGAATGTGTTCATTTAATGGAGGAGACAGACGCCCCCTCTCTGCGCTCGCTCCCGTTACACCCTCTCCTTCATTTCTGACCCGTCACACATTCAGCTCGGAAACATTGTGCTACTAAAGGATTTTTGTGGGCTTTTCTCTGAATGGTCATTGCCAGTGGTGCATTATAACTTACCATTGTAATGTACTTCAAATTGTAAATGAAAAATGTATCATTCAAGCAAATCCCTGTAAAATGAGTAACGATAAGGATATGAGAAAACTGAATATGACATTATGCATTAAAAAAATGCATAAAAATATCTAAAATTAATTGCAACAGTTTTATATATTACATTATATATGTAAAAATATTTACAAAAAAAAAACAGTGTTTCACAAGAAAATACTATTTCAATCTTTCTGCTTAGATATTTCACATGCAACTCAATGCATTATTTGCTATTTCTTTGAAATAACTTGTGAAATTCACTAGCGATTTCTGAGCGAAAAATTGTTTCTACATCAATCTTTTTTTTCCCCCCTTCATCAGTATACATATCATTTTCTTGTATGAACTGCTGGGGTCCCTGTCCTGTGTTGCTAGTTAATTTTGGTAGTCATTATAAAGCACACTGCGCCACACACAACAGTACCAGAGTTACAGCCGTGTATTTCATTAGCATAATTATCACATCTTCATCTGTGCGTGTACACCGCCAGCCAAAAAGCCTGTCCGACTGTTCACAGATCCATCTCTGTGCAAATACAGCATGCATGCACATGCATTACATGCAGTAGCGATTTCTCATCTGTACGTATTCATTATGCATTTACCCAACAAACCTGTTCCATTCACAGATGCATTTTAATGTGAATGACAGCTGTACATGGTGAGCGTATCTCACATGCACAGACACAAGAAAAGAAAAGGAGAAGCATGGCAGATTGATGGACAATTATAGTGCAGAGTTAGCAGAGAGAGTGATTTCAAAGTCTCTCAAACATATGAAATGAGTTGTTGTGCTGTAGCCGCAGGCTCCTGCGCTCATACGGCTTCAGTCTACTGTATATAACAGCATGCTGGGCTACTGACTGCGCAGCTACAGATGCCGTATGCATCAAATAGCTATTGATTTTCACATGTAGCACTGTGCAGAGGAAGGACTCTGAACACCAATGATCTGATTATTAGCAGACTCTCTTCATTTGCACACATCAAACGAGAGACGCTCGGCGGAGAGAGCGATGATTCCGAGTATCTCTCGCTAAAGAGGTCAGGTCTCCAGTGAGGTAAAAGTAGCAGTGCAATGACACATTTGTAACTATTTTGATGCTCTGGCTTTCTGAGGCAGAGAAGGAAATGGAAAACATTCACGATTAATTCTGACAGAGTTCACAGAGAGAGAGAGAGAGAGAGGTAAAGGTCTGTTAAAATAGGAAACTCTGCCTACAGAAACACAGCTTATTGTTTCTGTGGAATTAATAATTGACGGTTGTTAAATGAATAATTTATCACGAACTGGAATAATTGTTGTATCTCTAATCTCGACACACATTTGCATATGAATCTTGTAAAATCTGCCTCTATGTACTCTATAAACTTCGCAGGGGTGTGAAATTTAATTTATCCTATGAAATAAAACGTGGCTTTCTCCTGCAGGATTCGGCCGTCACGTGGAAGTGCGCCGGGCCGTGTTTGTGTACATGTGTGAGTGAGCGACTCTTCAGATTTTCCTCTTTCTATTTTAAAATCTGCTGTGAGGAAGAGCATATGGCTTCATATTAAATAAGACAAATGATTCACTATCAAATGCAATGTCAAATGTCATAATAATATGTGATAAATAAACAATATAAAAGTGCATTATACACAATATGTGACCTTGGAGCACAAAAGCAGTCATAAGCAACACAGGATTGACCCTTATGACTGGTTTTGTGCTCCAGGGTCACATATAACAACATGAAACCGATTGGATGCCACTTCCTATATTTGCATAAATACTGAATAAATTTGAATCTGAGTAAATATTTGTGTCCTTAATATTTTATTAAGTACTATCAGTTATAAATGCAATAAAGTGTTGAACTGTGAATATTTGTGTGGTGTCTGTATGTCTTTCTCTTCGGTCACGTTCAGACAGACAGCAGCGCTTCAAAACACAGATCCTCCACAGCGTTCAGATCTCAGCCAGACGCAAAATGAGCAAATCAACAAATATTTATATTCAAACGTGTGATGCGAATAAATGCAGTCATCACCGTGACAACGAGCATCGCCGTCTCTCTCTCTCTCTCTCTTAAACAGGCGGGAGAGTTGATTGTGTTTGATCCGGGCTTGTGTTGAAGTAAAAGAGCATCTTATACAATTGACGGCTACAATTAGCTGCCGATCAGAGCGGCGGAGGACAACACTTACACTCGCTTTTACATGTCAGTTTGTTGAATAAAAAAAAAAAAGGAGCAAAAAGCCGTAGGATTTTCCTTTTCTGTGTTTGCTGTATAATTTGTGGAGATTTGAGAAAGAGGAGGAACGCAGAGATGCTCATTAACATGTGAAAAGACGCAATCAGGGGCCACTGCTGAGACTATTGTCCACACTCATCCAGAGAGACAGAGAGAGAGAGAGAGAGAGGGAGAGAGAGAGGGAGAGAGAGAGAGAGTATTATAGGGCAGAGATGAGCTGTTATCGGCTGCTCTATTGAATTGTACCCATGACTCTCTTTTTTCCTCTCTCTCTCTCTCACACACATACACAAACACACACACACACACACACACACACACACACACACACACACACGTTTCCTCTTTGGAGGACTGTTACATACTCCAGCAAACATTTGTATCGTTGCATGTTGCTGCTACCTGAGAAATTCAATAAATGGGCATCCTGAGGAAATCACACATGTCTCTATGAAAGCATATTCAAAAATCAAGCTTCTTCAATAGTTCTTAAGGTTCAGCAAAAGATCCTCTTCTTATCAAGAGTCATTCTGTCTGTTTAGGGTTCTTGAGCTGCAGCTAAACAGTTCTTTGGGGGAAAAAAGCTACTGATTACAAACTGTTGTTGTTGTTAATTGAAGTAAAGCTTAAATAAAATAAAAAATAAATATTAACTTAAATATTTAATAATAATACAATTATTTACATGTAAAACTGAAATATTTTAAATTGAAATGCTAAAATAATTAACTGGAAATAAATAAAAACAATAACTGAAATATAATTTCATCATCATCATCATTATGACAAAAGCACATAACAAATTCACTGAAATTTAAACTAAAATACAAAAGAAAAAAAAACTACAACTATATATAAATAATATTAAAATAACACTGGTGTTTTGATTTGGGTTTTTTAAAGCCCAATTTCTTCAATGTTTTTTTAACAAACTAAAACATAAAATAAACAGTTACCTTGTCATCAGGCTGCCAAACCATAATAATGTCTTAGTTCTAATAATTGGGATATTTCTTTTATTTTATCAGTTTATCCTCTGGCGTTTGCTGAAATGTCTTTGGAGAGTGAAGAAGTGGAGAGCGGCAGAAGTTAATACTCTTTCATTTCACACCTGCATTGTGGGAATATCTGTGTGTATTCACACATGATTATTAAAGAGGAAACACACAGAAAAAGGAACCATCAGTCACTGGCTGTCATACTGAGCTGCATTTGGATTTGATCCATCTGAACCACTTTTGAAAGATCCTTGCTGTTTCCATTTAGCATT